GACCCAAGATCGCACAGAAAATCTAGCAGAATTGGTCCTGTCTCCCATCTCTATGTGGTTAGTTATAAGACCTCATTTTTCCATGGAAAGGGGCATTGATATTTGAACTGGCAAAATACCTAGCTCACTTTCTTAGCTGAAGATGCACGTTGAACAGATATACTGTCTATCTTTTAAAAAGTCATTTTCTGGATATCTCATGGTTATTTTGTATATTCTCTTTTTCGTCAAGGAAGTACTGGTTGCACCTCTAAAATCTGGCATTCTCTTGTCTAGCAATATGTATGATCTTGCATGACCCCGGATGTTCCAGATCAGAGAGTTCCAGCGAGTTGCAGGGGAGTAAGGGCTCAGGAGCCGGTGTGCAGCTTAGTTGGGTGGAGCGTGGTGGGGAGGAGCTGGCGCATGGCTCATCTGAGCTGCGAGGGGGCACACGGTTCAGCTGGGTTGCGGGAGCCAGCATGCAACTCAGCTGGGCTGTGGGGTGGGGAAGCCAGGAAGCCCAGGGACTGGCAGTAGGGGGGCCGGAAGTGACCTCTCTTATCTGGAAAAAATCCCTCATCCGGGATCAGTCAGGTCCTGAGGGTGCTGGACCAGGGAAGTCCAAAACAATGAAATTTCCCTGCAATTAACTCACTGACTCGTTCTTATAATTGAAGAATACTCTTTATTCTATTCCTATCCCTTAAACACTCTTGACAATATCATTTTATAATTAGATTCAGTTTGTTCTTTTTCTCAGCTTACAACCAACCAAATAGATAAATGAAAATATTTAATTTAATGTTGGCAGTTGAGGTATATATTGAGTGGTAGGTACAGAATGTGAGTACAGATGTGGTATAGGAACATGCCTCTGAACAAGTAGTTTATCTTTAGCCCAAGTGCTCAAACTATTTTTATGGAAAATCTAGTTTCTTTCCATCTTAGTTTGGGAAAGTGACAATATAAAACTCAAAATATTATTTTCTAATGAAGACGATATTGTAAATGAAAAATTACAAAGTCAAGGATTTGTAGCATAAATTGCGGATGTGTTGTTGTAATCATGAGCTAATTATTTATTTTGTACTAGTGTGAGCAGAAAATCAGTGGTGTCTAAACACGATATAGACAAATGAAAGCATTTTTTGTGTTTTAGCAAGAGAAAACTTGTACTACTTTATCCTGAAATAGTCTTTTGGTGTACAAGGTTCCCTTTGCTTCTTAAAGTTGGTTCTGAACAACTGTTGGGGCAAAAAGACTTCAGCAGACTGTCTATTTTGTTAGTAGTCCAAATATTTATTTTTGTATTTATAAAGTGCCTTCAAATTACCCATAGGCACTAATACAAATTTTTAAAAACTATATGATGGACTGAGAATATGGCTTATAAAACTAAGCAGTTTTTCTTCACACACACAATGCACCTGAAGGCTAACACATCCTCTGCCAGTTACAGTGCCAGACTAAACTGATAGATATTGCAATCTTCCTAAAATACTTACAAACTGGCAAATTTTAAAGAGGAACGAGCCCCGAAGCTGAGTGTGTTAGAGGATACCTTGCTGCCAAACCCAAGAGTTCAAGTGCCAAGCCACACAGGGTTTAACCCCTTGGATTACCCTTCAGTAAGCAGAATTCCAATACAGATGTAATGTGCTGTGTATTTCTTGTTCACAATTGTTAAACAATATTCTGGATTAGTCAAGACTTTTGAATAATTGAGATTAAAAAGTACATTACAGTGGTCCAGACTGGACATGCCAAAAGCATGGCTAAGCATTGAAGTCCTACTCCAAAGGGAAGGGCTGTATTCTTTGGGTCAGCTGGAAGGCATTTTGAGCCATTGTTCTTTTAACTGAAGATGAGGGGCGCGTTATTGGATGCATTAAGAAGCCATAATAGTATCACCCATAATCAAGGAACAGTTTACATCCTTAACAGAGGACACAATCATCCCCAACCGCTTCTCCAGATGTCTTCCCAGTAACCAGCAGTGTTGTTTCAATTTTGCCTACATTAAGCTTAAGCTGACTAGCTTTCATTCAGAATGTCATCTCTGACAAATATCAACTGGAAAGCAAATGGTTAGATCTGAATTTGAAGGAAAACCAAAAATGGGAATTGGCACAGTGGTAAAGCAGCCAAAGTCTTTCCCTTAGTCACCTTCATGTACATGTGGAGTGAATGGCTATGAACATCATCGTTTTCTGAACTAGATGAGATTTCTTTCTTCAGTGTAGCTTTCACTTAATGCAAACAGTATTTCCACACTCATACAAATAACAGACTACTCAAGATTTTTTCCTACTGGCCTGGAAAAAAAAGATTTTATTTATTTATGTAATACTTCGAAAGTTTTCTCATACTATGGCTGTGGTCAATGAGCTCTCTCATCTTTTACATTCACTGATTTTTTTTCTGTGTGAACTATTTTTATATGCACTGAGGCATGTGTGAATGTGTGCCACCCAGTAGAAACAAACAAAAATCTAGCTAACTGTGCATAGTTTGCTAATGAGCTGGGTGGCATTTGAATCTCAAGTGACCGCACAAGTGCACAGCTTAACAGGGAACGCTGATTGTGGTCCCATTTGAGTAAGTTAGATGGAATACAGAAAGGTGTAAGTTAGACTACAGCAGGACCTTTAAAATGTGATCTAATGGCTCATATTATGCAGGAGTTCTGTATTACCTGGGAGGGAAAAAGCACAACCACTGTAATGCGGCTTTTTTATACCTACTAGTACTTGCCTTGTGATCAAAGATTGCTAAGAGTAAACCGCATCTGTAGTGGACTCATAATCTGTTTCCATTATTACCTGAAGACTAACCAAAACATAAATGCTGCTGTTGTGTTATAGTTTGAAAACCCAGGGCAGTAAACATTGGAAACAACTGGAGAACCCTTGGGTAATGCAGAAACTGGTTAATTGAAAAAGGAAGGTTTAAGTGACCATAGAATAAAAGTAAATCACATAACTATTACCCTAATGTGTCAAGCATTCTCTCCCCTCTCCCCCAAAAAAAGATACTAACAGATTGCAGGATGATTTTTCTACCAAATCAAAGATACATGGTTGTAAATCTGGCACTATGACAAGTAGTGACCTAGTATATTTAGCATTTGTAGGAAGTAACCTAATCGGAACCACCAAGCTTTCTAAATATGCACATTGGTAGAGTGGAAATTGTAAGTATAAGTCAGGGGTGGGGAAGCTAAGGCCTGTGGACTGGATGCAGCCCCTGAGGCTTGGGACACCCCCCCGCCATTCTCCAATGGGACTGAAGCACATGTCTACTAGCCTGGACCCCCTCAAGTCTCTGTGCCATGGGAATGTCTCTCTCCCAAAAGGTCCCCCACCCCTAGATAAGTCTACGTCTTTTGCCTTTTATTTTCGGTTGACCACAGGAATGACTTTTATGTATTGTTGTGCTTGTGGGTGGTTTTTATTGTTGTAGACAACCTTACTATCCAGAAATGTCAGTGCTAAATTATCACTTCCATACCATCCCTTGCTCAAATGACAACTTTCACTTCGTTAATAGTATTTTTGAGAGGGGAGGAGAACTGTAATCTTCAACCCCTCCCATTTTTCAAATCAGATCAAAGGCTTTGAGTTTTTCATTGTTCATACGCGTTTAGATCCCTCTAGAAAAGTAAGTGCAATAGCAGATTATAGTGGACTTGCATTAGGTCCAGGATGCTCTTTGGCATAAAAATTGTGATATAATCCTCAGAATATAATTTAGAGCAGGGATGGACAAACTTCTTGGCCTGGGAGCCACATCAGGGTATGTAAATTGGGGTTGCAGTGTAGGACTGAGTGAGCACTTTGGCCAGAGATGCGGGCTCTGGTGGGACCAGAAATGAGTTTAGCATGTGGGAGGGGGCTCCAGGCTGGGGTAGATGGTTGGAGTGTGTGCGAGAGAACTTTGGGGTGGGGCTGGTGATGAGGGGTTTCGCATGCTGAAGGGAACTACAGGCTAGGACAGAGGGATTTGGGGGGGGGTGTCTTTGGGCTAGGCCAGGAGTTTGGAGCATGGGGCTTGTTGTGTGATGGTTCTGGCTAGGAGAGTCAGAGGGATGCAGGGACTTAAGATGCAGGAGAGCATATGGGCTGGGACTGTGGAATTAGGATGCAAGAGAGGGATCAGGGCTAGGGCAGAGGGTTGAAGGGCAGGGGGAAAGCTCAGGGGTGCAAGCTCCAGGCTGTGCTTACCTCCTCACGCAGCTCCTGGAAGCAGGAGCACATCCCTGTTTTGGCCTGCTCCCACATGAAGGTACAACTAGGCAACTCTGTGTGCTCCCCTCCACTGTCCCATCCACAGATGCCATCCCTGCAGTTCCCACTCTGAGGTTCCAGCCAATGGGAGCTGTGGGAACTGTGCTTGGGGCGGGAGTGTGTGTGTGGGGGGGGAGGGGAGAGGGACAGCGCATGGAGTCCTCTGGCTGTGGATGCTTCTGTGCATCGGAGTCGGAGGGGAGACATGGAGCCATGCGGAACAAGGCAAGCCTCAGACTCTGCTTCCCAGTGGGAGCTTGCGGGCTAGATTAAAATGGCTAGCAGGCAGGATGTGGCTCACAGGCCATCATTTTCCTACCCCGATGTAGAGTTTGAGAAGTTATTGAAGGTTACTTCAATGTAAACTTTAATCTAAAATTCAGTTCACTTTACAAGCTGGCATATGGCAAAATAGCAGTCTTCTATGTGGGTTTTGTTTGTTGTACTGTAGTCAAATATGTGCTCAATGCTTTAAAATGCATTGATAGCATCTTCTCAAATTATAACAGTCACATTATGCAGCTTTCACAGGCAATAAGAGTTTAGTATAATCACTTTTTAATATGGTTCTGAAGTTAGGGAAGAACTTTTTAAACTTGCAAAATTTCTGTAATTTGACTCGGATAGTTTTATTTATAACAGTTCTAGACAACAATGAAATCATTAATGACTTCAGAGGAAAGAATTTTTTGAATTAGAGCAATGTGTGCACTTCTTAAAAAATTGCAATAATTTAATGTGGAAAATATGCTCGTTTATATTTTATTGGCACATAAAATAGCAATTGTACCACCAAAGTGTGCATGCTTATTATTGCACGTTAACACGAAAAATCCTTGTATACCATCTCTCTTTCCTCAAATTTGTTTGGGAAACCTTTTGGTTATAGTTTCATAATATTACTATTGTCAAGAATTATATTTTTCTAAAATTAAAAAAATAATTTTCAAACTCCATTAAGTGATGAGGGCTTAAATAAAGACTGTCCCATTAAGCTCATCCGTTTTTCACTGTACATGCTTTCAGCAATATTTACAAATTGCACATGGGATATTTTTTATAGATGGAGTATTGTCCTTTTTAATGCAGTTTACGATGGCGATATCTGCCAGCTTTTTCTTTTGCTGCATTGGCACAGGCATTGTGCTTATTTTGTTGTAAGTGGTTCCAGTATTTGATCAGTTCACTAGGCTGGAACTGATGGGAGGTAATTAGGTGGCTATATTTACAACTGGAATAAGAAACTCGCCAGTGATTGAAGACAAACTCATTGGGCGGAGGCATAGGGTCAATTCGCAACTTGGCAAGACAGATCCCCACATATACATCCTCTAAGTGCAGGCGTCTGATACTTAAGGAGACTTTAAATATCTTTTCTGCCAAATCTCCAGAGAAAACATAACCAGTCCCTGAGCAGAATACAGGGTAACGCTCACTTGGATACAGATCAGGTGGCATATACCACTTGCTATCCTTGTTCCTATTAGGTGCATACCCTCTCATTAGGTAACCGGTAAAATATTTGTGTCTTGGTGGCAATTCTGGCTTCAGAAGCTTATGTATTAAATACTCAGTATTGACAAACATATCGCTATCAGTTTTCATAACATAGGGAACATTTGGACAGTAGGTGGCAACCCAGTTCATCCCCATAAGAGTTTTGATGGTTAAGTTATAGTAAGTATCTAAATATTCTTGTTGAATAACATCATGATACTGTCTGCTTTCCTCCAATATGGTACGTTGAAGGTATCCATTTAGTTTAATGCTTAAACCCAGCAAAAAAATGCGAACAATTTGAATACCCGGTGCCAGGCTTTCATTACCCCACGTTTGCCGAATAGCTTGTCTAGCTTCCACTTGGCCTGGTTCTGCAGCTATAAGTAGTATTAGAAAAGGACTCTTCTCCTGGCATTTTTCAGGCTCATTTATTATATACTTAAAATGATATGAAGTTGGATGTCCGGTACCTTTTTCATTGTAAATACTTCCATTGGCACTGAGTGTATTCTCTAAGCCAGTTACTCCTTGTGGTGACAGGTCAGTGTTGTTGGAATTAGTGACTGTCTGAGGCCTAAGAGTCTGAGGGATTGTATCCTTCAAAATGTTCCTCAGAGAGCTATGGTTTGTCTCGCTTTTTGTAGACCTAAATCCTCGAATAGTGTAAGCCACAGGATTTTCTTTGAATCCAGCTCTGCCTGGCAGCCAGTCATGATGATTAAAGAACAGAAACATAGCAAAAAGAAACACGAGAGAAAGCAGGCCAATAAGATGGGTGCGAAACAGAGACCTTTTGGTATTCCACGTCATTTTTGCAAAACAGCAGTGTCGTCTTCTCCACTGAAGCATGTTGTATGTATCCAACAAGGGAATGCGAGATAACAGTTGAACAAAATTTTTCCTTCTTTCCTTTTTAATCCACTGCTATTCTTTGGTATTCATCTTTTTATATTCACCTGGAGTAATGCTCTGCACATAGGTCGCTCTGCTGCAAAGGTGAAAAAAATAACCTTTTACAATTCACTTTAAAAATCAGGGGATTTATAATGAATGTTACAATGAGAAATAAGAAACAAATAACATTGGAATTTTAATAAAGTATTAGTCCCAGTGTAATTATCTAGTAAACAGAAACTTGAATTCCACACTTAAAGGCAAACTTAATTTTTTGTTAAAATGTACTCAATTCATTAGCATTTGGGGGGAAAGCATAGCACTTAATTAATTATAAATCTTTGTTTTGTCTTCTCATTTCCGCTGTATAATAAGTCGCTTGTTCAACTCTGGACAAGAAAGTCTGAACTTAAATCAGCTCTATGTAGAGTAAATGTAAAACTGTTCTATGGTTAAGAGAGACCAAATGAAAAGGCCTTGATACCAGATGGGAAGATTTATTGGCATTAATTGACATTGATTTGACATTCAGTGATTAGTATGCATCAATTAGAGGCCCTTTTTGTAAAATGTTCATGTTTGGGTATCGGGATAGATGGTGCAAGGTTGATTATAGTTGAGTTCTGTTTGTCACAGTATACTGCTTGGTATGTTTCCATTGGCCTCTACTGTGCTAAAAAACTCAATGAGAAGCCGTACCCATCAAAATTAATGTTTGGGGTCCAACACTTTTACTGTACAGGCCTCAGAAACAAATAGTAAATGCTTTTTTTTAATCTTTGACTCACCTTTAACCTTTCGTTCCACAGTGAGTAAAAAATTTCCTTACCTGAATTGTCTGGGGTTAATTTTAAAATTAAATATGTAATTGATTAGTCATAGTGATTTTAGTTGTTTATATTAAACAGCAACCTCTCAATTTTTATAGTAATTCACAGATTAGTTTTAATGCTTTCATTGTTTTTAAACTGTTTTTTGTATACTTCTGTTACAGCAATTATACTAGCAATTGCAACTACAGAAAATTTGCTAAACTAGCTTTCCAGCATCATTTCCCATCTCCTCAACATTTATTTTGAGATTTAAGAGCAGAGTCAATACGGCAGCTTCATGATGCTGCATATTAAAAGCTGATCATATCATCTCATAAATGAGCCTTTCATTGCATGGTACAAATTTGTTCATGATTTTCAATTTGTTCTAATTTATTTCTAGACTCTAGGGTTTTGAGTTTGGAGAAAAAAAAAAGCCAATCTTACAGGATTCCTGTGGAAAACACTTTTTATGTAAATGTGTAATTTATTTAATTACTTCATCATCTTCCAAAGCCAATATTTGGATTCTTCATTTTGAAAAAGGTAGTGACATGTTACATGGATAATTACAAGATTTAAACTGTAAAAATGTAATTTGAAAAGGTGGCACACAGATTTATTAAATCACACGGTGGATAGAGTATAAAAATCTTTACTTACCCTCATACATGCATATGTATATATAGCCTACAAGTCTGTGCCCAAAACACATGTAAAGTTTTTGGAATAATTTTTTTTCTATAGACATTTTAATAGTTGCCATATATCAAACTGAATTTAAAGTGACAAATGATTTGCTCTTTATGCAGATTAAAACTCATTCAAAATGATAGGGTACAGTGCTAATAGTATTATCTTACTGAATGAAAGCTGTAGTTTTGTCCACTAGGAGGAGCAAGTAAGTGGGGATTTTAACCATGATTTGTAAAAATGTAAATGTATCTGAGAAGACCATACAGTTGCAAAATTCTGCTTTTGAAACGGTAAAAAATTTGCTCAGCTACATTAAACTCCTCTGTTTAGATTTTCGAATGTATGCAGTGTTTAAACCCACTTAGTTGAAGTAGTTCTGTCTGAAGTTGAAATTGTTTAGTGGCTCATAGGTTTTTCTTGATACCGCTTTTAAAACTATTTTAGAATGCACACAGTTTTTACCTGTAACATGGAGTTTACAGTTGTGATAAAATTGTTTAATACTTATGTGATTGTTACTACAATGACATCTGTGTACAAGGAAATAAATCCTTAAAGTTTTAGTTTTGAGCTGATCTGCATATTCATGCACATCTGGGGTGGAGGGGAATATTTAGTGAGTTTAATTTTTAAAATTTACATAAAAGCAAATATAACAGTTTTATTTCAAATGTGTCTGTTCAGACAACATCTCTCAGTGCAATTAATATCTAATGACAGCTCCTGATGGTGAGGATATATATGGTACAGTACTGTTATTCCATTATATATGTTACATGTGCTGTAATAGACAGTAAAATAAATGTTGAATATTTAGTGAGTTTAATTTTTAAAATTTACATAAAAGCAAATATAACAGTTTTATTTCAAATGTGTCTGTTCAGACAACATCTCTCAGTGCAATTAATATCTAATGACAGCTCCTGATGGTGAGGATATATATGGTACAGTACTGTTATTCCATTATATATGTTACATGTGCTGTAATAGACAGTAAAATAAATGTTTTTTGAGAGGCTTGAATAAAGGATAGCAACTGCAGTTCAGTGTAACTTAATAGCCACACTGAATTATTCCATTATCACAACTTCCTTATTAAATGTGAATGATTTAAGTGAATTAATATTGGTAGCCGTAACTATTAAGAATTGTTTTAATGTTTAACTGATATAATTTTTTGTTGTGTGCCCATTTTTTAGTGAGAGGCAATTGAAGGTATCAGAGAATATCTCATGTGCAATGTACAATGAGCTTCTGAAAAAAATCAGTTAATTTTCACAAGAGGATACTGTAGAAATAGAGGATTTTAAAAGCTGAAGCTTATTTAGAATCTGCATGTTTCTGGGGTCTGTTTAAATTTCTTTATGTGAAGCCTACTGTCAAAACTTCATATAAATTAGATGATTTCTTAAAATGTTTCTTGATTTCCATGCATTTTCAGAATTAAAAATAGTATATTCAAAAATTGCATAATATTTCTTATGTTTAAAAATATCCTCTAAGGTTGTAGAAGTATTTACTGGAAGAATAAATTAAAACTTGATGTTTTTGTTTTGCCATTTGTACTTGTGGTTGAAAACATTTGGAAATACGTGCAGTTAAATTAAGAATTTTATCTAAGTATAATGTTTATACATTTTTGGAAAAAATATGGCAAATTACCCCCATAACATTTGCCTAATTCTTAACTGTGTGAAAAATTGGCAATATTCATTTAAAATGGCATTATGAAAAGTATTCATGGTTTTGTTTTCTGCTGCTTTATTTTATTAATTGTCCAGTCAGTAATATTAAGCTCTGTATTGGTTTTTTTTAAAGTTTGGAATTAACATATCCTGTGGAACTAAATCTACGTAGTGGGTCGAGTAGTCACCTTGTCCTTTCGAAAGCTGTAGTATGCAGCTGTGCATTTTAAGCATGTTATTTATAAAAGCTCTATTTGTTTCTCAACACTTGAATGTGCATTGGTTGATGTATTGTGAATTAACAAAGTTAAACTGTAGAACATATTTTGAGTGTTCTATTTTTGGTCTCTCCTCCACCTTTGTTTCCTTTCTTGTTTCTAGTAGTGCTCAATTATGGCTCTGCAGATTGAAGCATTAGTTTCAGCTCTGCGTTTATACATCCTGGATTTTCATATTTTGATTAGCTCTCTAGGCAAACCTTTAATTAGAGGGAAAAGTTGAAAAAGCAGCCTGAGAATTGGTATACTGATGGTAAATAGCAGCAGGGTTTTAAAGCACATTATGCAGGGCCTAATATCTGTGGTGATATGTTAACTGCATTAATTCTTTGCAAAAAACAGACACTTCTTCTTTTTCTTGTCAAAGTCAAATAACTTTAAATCACAAAATTCACACAATTGATTGGTCATGGGAGAATTTGTTGGTTAATTTTGTAAAAATAGACACTGAAAAAATTAAACTTTTGAAAAAATTTCACACAGGAGTTACGTTTTGTTGTTTAGGTGCCACTCAGTGTTAAAGTTACATCATCTTGCTGCATATTTGTTAAATTAGACGTGCAAACTTTGTCCAGTGTTGTATTAGTTTTATTAGATGTTAGAATTGCTTGGGATGAAGTAAGCACTTTTACATAATGCTCTTTAATAATTTATTATGTTTTGTTGGTAGATTTTGTAGATAACGGTGTCGATTCTGTAGCTCTGTAAGAGTGCTTTAGATTCAGGTATCTTACTTTTAGTAAAGATAGTAGTGTGAAATTCCTGTTTTTATCAAAGCATTTTAAGATTACCTAGTTTAAATAATAGGTGGAAATGACTGAAAAGCAATTTATCATGATGACTTCTTTTTATATTCAGAGTTAAACAATCAATGTGTTGCATATTAAGCAGATAACTTGTAATGATAGCATGATATAAATTATATGCTCACCATCTTGAGTGGTACAGTGTATTAAGGTTTCCTTTGGGGAATCACAAAGCCTAACACTACTTGGAAAATGTAGCAGTTAATTGTGCTATTGGTAGCTTTTGCATGTTTTTAGTTATGAATTAGGCATGATGATAATATTTAATCTGGTGACATTTTATTTATATTTAAGAGCACTACAGGAGTACTAGCAAGTGCAAAAAGCATCCACGATGCCATTTAACTGTAATTTGACTGCATGGTCTGTTTTGATGGTTCAGGGCATTCAGCATGTGTGCCACAGCCATTTTACCAAGGCTTCAAGATTACTTCAGATAGGGATTAAATCTGACCTAGTTTGAGAGGATGGTTAACTGATTAATTTTTAAACAAGAGATTTTTAAGTTTTATTTCTCAAGTACAATAGCCAGAGATATTCCTCTTCCTTACTCTTAATCCTCAATTGACTGTGAGAAACATATTTAATGAGAAGTAGCAGTAGTGACATTTGTTCTGTGTAGGTTCGGGGGGGGGGGGGGTGTGGGTGGGAGGGGGGGGGGGGGGGTTAGGGGAGGAGCTGCTGGAATTCTTTTCACTGTTCACAGAAACATTATCACTGGGAACATAGGTTTGCAATGATCTATACCTGTCGGATGCAAAGGAACTAGACAATTGAATGAATATATCACACACAAGATTTAGACATACCTTCCTTGTTTAGGCCATTTACGGTGAGAGGTTTATACCCCCTGAAAATAGTTTTGACACGCCATCACTTCAGCAAAAAAGATGTTATTGAACATGCGCATATTCCCCAAATGTCTGCTTCCTGCGATTGCTTTTCACGGTATCCAATCTGTCCATCTGTCTCCTTGTTGCTGTGTTACCTTCCTTGCTTATAAGTGTCCACGTCTTGGTGTCTTTTGTTCATCTTTCAAACAAAAGAACAGTAGTTCTTGCTTGTGTTCCAATCAGGGTTCTTTTGCTCTTGACAATTGATGCATTGAAGCTTTTACATCTGGCATTTCCCTTGTTGGACAATGCGGTGCTGTATTCTCTTCTCAGTATCCATATTTCTAGTGATAATGTTAAGCAGCAAGTGCTGGAATATAGTGATTCAGCTGCATTCAGTAATGGGTTTTACTTCTCCCTCCCTTCTTCCTTTGTTGCTAGGCAGTAACTGAAAAGGTTTTGAGCAGTTTTAACTAAGGATTTTGGTTTATAAAATCCATTCCATAGTTCTTCAGCTGCTGCACAGGCAGGCAGCAGTTTAAATGTGGGCTTTGACAGATGCTGTCTTCTGACAGAGCAGAATTTAACGTCACTGCTTGGCTGAATCCCACGTGATTGTTTGCATTCATTTTGACTAAATCCTAAGGCAGCCAGAAAGCTTACAGGTTTTTACTTCTATTTGATAAATGATACATATTCAGTGCAAGAGTAGTGATGAGTAAGTAATATGAAAATGAGATGATCATTAAATAAATGAGTTTATTTTTCAGATGTATTTCTTTATTTAGTGCCATAACGTAAAATTCTTTTTTTTTCCAAGTTAGACATTTCAATTTTCTTATTCCAGATATACTTCTGCAGAGGCTAAGAGCTGTAAGCATTGAAATATATTAGCTTGGGTTAACCCCTTCACTGCTCTATGAAAATGTATTTTTCTACATAAAACAGAATGTATATCCTACCATACTATAAACCATGGTTTTGGTTTAGTCAAAGCAGTTGGCAGCAACTAATGTCATTGGAGTTTGTACATCTCACTGCCATTAGTGCTTTCCTTCAGTGGTAGAGCTCACAAAGTATTGCAGAAATACTGGAAGCCAGTGAGCGTAAGAAACCCTGATATTTTTTCTTCTGAAATACCTACAGTATGTATTGTCTTAATACAACTTGCATTCAGTGTTCTTTTCTTTCTTTTAAACAATCTGATCCTTTTCTGGGACAGTGTGAATTTGGTGATTCATGTAGTACATAAGCAAAAAACTATAAAGGTTTAACCCAATTATAGGGAATGCATTTTTACCAAATGATGAGCATTGGGGTATTTATCTTGTCTTCCTTTGGAAATGGTTATCTGGTTTTTCATTTCTGTAACTCTTCTAATGGGACTAGCCAGAGACAGAATTTCTTCACTGGACTGCCATATATCAAATGCTACCTCTGACTTCTGTAGGGCACTGGGCAAGAATCTGCAATAATAGAAATTAATTATCAAGTCATGCTTCCCCAAGTGCAGTCAGTAGGCTTACTGGCTCCAGACACATGTTCTGATAAGATTTAATCAGATACATATACTCTTTTGACCAAAATATCTGTGTATAAAAGTCCACTAGGTTAAATGGAATGACCTTATTTGGTCTGTGTATTTCCAATCCTAAATACAATTTGTGTTAACTCCGTTGCCCTATTTGAGGAACTATATATTGATAAAGATTTGTATCTTCTTTGGCTAAAATAGTAGTTTTAAAAAAGAAGGTGGTGAGTAATTGCAGGCACTATACTATAAATAATTAAGAATCAATATTGAGAGAGGGATGTATATGCCTGCTGCATGTTTCTGAAGTGTCTATTAAATGTTGGGACATACACTTCTTTCAAAACTTACCTTAAGGCTTGGTCTACACTGGCAGCGTCAGTATAATGGTGTCACTCTAGGGGTGTGAAAAATCCATACCCCTTAATAACACAGCTATACTACTGTAACCCCTGGTGTGGAAAGAAGGTTAATGGGAAGGTTTCTCCCATCAACATAATTATTGACTCTCATGGAGGTGGCTTAACTATGCCTCTCCTGTGAGTGTAGGTGTAGTAGAAGCTCAGTTATGAGCATGTTGGGAATGGTGGTGGTTCGTAATTGTGAAATGCTCGTTACTCTCAACAAAATATCATAGTTTGAAAATATCATAGTTCAGTTGCGCGCGCACACACAGGCAAACCAGTTAGTGTTCACGTAACTTCTGAGTGAATGTGGCCAGAAATGTATGCTTCTTTTTTTTGAAAAGTATGATATGTTCTCATCAAACAAAAATATTGACACATTTTTGAACTTTTATCTTTGTGGCTGTAATTAGAAGTGTGGTGTTTTGATAGATATTTTGCGTTAGTAAATGATAACCATTTGGCTATATGTGTGTGCTCCCCCTGAGTGTTGCATTAACTCTGAGCAGATAGCCAGCACAGCAGACCCCTGGAGAGCCCCCAAAGACTGCAAAATCAGATAAAGGACAAAGGCACAAGGCCAGGTTTATTGTCAATGAAGCACAGCCCTCGTGTTCAGGAGACTTTTACCAGACCACTAACACACATGTGCCCATTGCAATGGATCAGCTCAGTCAGCGGTGGGACTTTTCACTGCCCTCTAGGCTGGACGGTGACAGCCACCCTAGGATACATTTTTATATACAGGTACAAAAAGTTACACATCACTCCTGAGGTATTAGGCTGCCACCCCTTAATGTAACTAGTTATCACCCATTACTTTGTACATCATTATTTGAGCAGAACATTGTTATGCTGTTACCTTGAACCCTTTCCTGAACCTAGGTCAGTATGTTCCTGTTATCTATGGGGGAAGTATGTTGGTATCAAGATGTTTCCTAACAAGGTATTCTGTTGCCATCCCTCTAAAATGTCTAGTACTCATGTCTAGTACTTTTTAGGTATGTGTTTTTGCAATTCAGCCCTGTTCTTGCCAGATTGTGATTAGGGACTGCCTTTGCTCACTCCTCAGTTTTGCTTTATATTAGCAAAGGTTTGACCATTTTTACCCAGGTATTATACCAGGCCAGTGATATATGGACATATGTTTCAGACCTCATTTTACTGCAGTAGCCATCAATGTTACTTAGCTCACATACCAGACTACCCACATGAACGTTTCACTCTCAGTATGCTTCTGCTTCTCGATCGTAACTGCTTTGATTTGCATGCTTATTTAAAATCATTTTATATATTGTTTTTAACTTGTGTTAAATTTGTGTTTTGGGTTAACAATTTTTCTGTCATGCAATTAAATACTGGTAACTGCTAATACAAGTGAAAATTGCAGGCTCTGTATATCTCTGTGGTAGGTACAAAATAAGCAGTTCTGAGGATAGCATAGTTTTGCTCCTAAATCCTGATGTGTGTGGCTGAAAAGGCTGAAATTGCTCTTTAGAAGCTAGTTGTATGTGTGTCGATGCTGTTTCAAAATATATATGTTAGAGTTTTCATAATTAACAATTTTCAGTATAGCAAATGGCATAGTTTTTCTCGAGTACTTGCTGTCCATTTAATTTAGGTGTTTGATCTCCACATGTACCTCCTGAGGTACCTGAGGATGATGCTAAGCCCAACCAAGATTTTCTAAAGAGGTTTGCAGCTCATTTGAGTCTGCAAGCTGGAGAGCTGGAGAAGCCAGAGAACAAAGCCTGGCTTCTCAATCACATGGTGGCATGTAACTACATAACTTGGTACTCGAGGCTCAGGCTATGTTCTCTCCAGCAATGGCTAGTTTCAGTCTTCATGTCATCCAGGCATCTGCTCGACGGGATTGTGAGCACCTCAGCTTTGGTCCTCAACTCCCTCACCTGATGAACCTTAACACTTGAGTTTGGAAGAAAATAAAACTAGATCTGTGGTTCTCAAACTTAACTTCTTTGCATTGCAGCTATCTTTTAACAACAAAAAATACTACATGATCCCACTGGGAAAGGTTGGGGGAGGGAGGGGAAGCGCAGCTGAGCTATCGAAGTCTAGTTGCTGCAGACATGAGGGCTGAGGGAAGGCAACTGTCAAAGCCAGAGCCTCATTGCCCTGGGAAGTAGTGAGGGGGCAGCGGGGAGCTTGAGTTGCAAGACTCATTCTGGCCTGCAGACTTCTGTTTTATTTGGTTATATGTAAATGCAACGTACGGAGCTATTCTTGGGTATCCCTGAATAATCTGTTGCGTTTTCTCCTTCTTTGTAATTTCTCTTTTTTCCTAAATACAACACTACAGCTGCACTTCTGTAGTGCTTTATCATAGACACTGCCTGCTTTCACAGGAAGATGTAAATGTGTTATAACTATCTCTCTTGGAGTTGTGGCTTTTTCACATCCTTGAAAAAAATATAGCTATCCGATGTAAAAATCGAGTGTTGACCAGCTTTTACCAACAATGAGTGTTAAAAGTACAATTTCAGTAGGGAACGGGTAGCATAGTTTCATTCACATTGTGCATATCAGTAGTGCTTCCTGCTTTGTCATGACTGCTGCTTTTGAGATCCAAGAAAATGGGTAACTTGGAGGTTTTGATTCTCTACAGCAGGGGAGAGAAGGCTAACCTGAAGAAGTACTGAACATTTTCAAGTAGTGAAATAGAAAATCGTGAAATTAAACACGTTTCCCCAATGTAACAACTGGTATATCCGTTGGTACTACAGGCAGTCCCCGGGTTACGTACAAGATAGGGACTGTAGGTTTGTTCTTAAGTTGAATTTGTATGTAAGTCAGAACTGGTACATATTGTAGGGGAAACTCTAGCCAAACATTTCTCCAGAGCTCAGTTTTATTCTCCCACACCTCACTTCCCTCAGTCCTTTATTCTCAAGCTGAGGTGTCGGCTGAGAAAAGCCGCTCCGCGTCTCCCTGGTCTGCGGAGGGGAAGCAGCTAGTGCGGGGTTGCCTCACCCCGTTTGTAAGTAGGGATCCGATGTAAGTCAGATCCATGTAACCCGCGGATTGCCTGTATTTGATAAATTAGGGAAAGGGGAAACCTGGTAAATGAAACAGAACACAAGACTGAAACATCCTGGTGCCTTTTGCTCGTTAATGAAATAATGTATGTGGATGTCTAGAACAGGGCTACTCAACTTTGGAAGCCTTAGGAGCCACAGTGATACTCACAGCACATGTTGAGTACAGCAGCTTAAGTAGTCGCATATATAGCGGTTGCATATACATTCAGATATATGCAAATAGCTTTTCACACTGACAGGCATGAATACAAAGATTAAGGCAAGACTACACAACACAGAGGCCCCATTTAAATCAGTTTTGCTAATATTAATAAAATGCAATATTTACCCGATTTCCACCCATATGACAGCACTTTTAATGAGCACTGACAGTCCTACTAAACTAAAACGCATATCAACTGAAGACCATTATATTGACTTGCTGTTGTGAAGCGCTTTCCCAGTAGAGAAAATGCGGTCAAGACAGGGATCTTTTGATAGAAATGCCCCATTTTGAAAGATCCTGTAACCCTCATTAACTGGTCCCGTCTTGACCGCTGTTTTTTTCCGAAAAGTGGCTTTTCAACAAAACAAATCTGCAGCCATCATTATGTAAATGAAGCGCGGGAAATTCAAATCCCAGCTTCATTTACAATTTCAATATGTCTAATTTACATCCCTTTATCAAAAAAAGAGATGTAGCTTAGATGTACCTAAAATGGAGTATATCATTTCCAGCATATTTGGCTCCTGTGTGGAAGACCTACTGAATAGATCCTCTTTAAGTTTCAGCTTACATTTATGATCCTAAAGAATTATTTTTCCATAATTTACCATTTAGTTGTTAGAGCCACCAGTGTAGTAGTGTACTACATCTGCTTTTCCACTCCTTATGAATTACATAAACTCAAGATTAAGTTATGTGAGTTCCCATTAGGGGATCAATTTGCACTTGTTATATGGATAGGATAGACGTTGAAAGCTAATTACCTGACCAGTTAGATAATGTCAATTAACTACTTGTTGGCCAATGTAAAATATTGTCAGACATTCCAGCATGAATGCCCTGACGTAGGCGACAGCCTTCCTTTTTTTGATTACATTTAAATATCCCCGCTTCATTTGCATAATGGTGTCCGCTGCTTTTTTTCCCAAAACGGGGCTTTCAGGATCTTTCGAAATGGGTCATGTCTGTTGAAAATGCCCTGTCTAAACTGCCAGGATTTTTCAAAAAGCCCCATTTCGGAAAAAAGTGATGGCCGCCATTTTGCAAATGAAGCACTATTTAAATCCTGGCTTCATTTGCACTTTCGATATGTCTAATTTACATCCCTTGGCCAACAGAGGGGTGTAGTTTAGACGTAGCCAAAGAATCCCTACAAATGGTGTTGATCTGTTACTAGGTGGAAGTGTCAGTAACTGTCAGTAATACAGAAAAGCCAGAAATGTTCAATAAATAAATGCAGGTATAGTTATAACATATTAGAATGATGAAACATTTTTCACTTCAGGAGTAACTCAGGAGGATGCTAATCAGACTCTAAGGATAGACATTTTTAAATCTGCAAGTCCAGCTAATTTGCATCCAGGAATTAAAAAGGCAGGCTGGGATCTTGCTGGACTATCAGTAAATCTTAGAACACTGGAGAAGTTTCAGTGAACTGGAAAAATACTAATATTTTGGCAATATTTAAAATGAGTAAATAGGATGACACAGCCTGATCTTAATCCCAGACATCATCATAATAATTAATAAAAATGCTCTAAACTTCTAGAAGATGTCTGATTTGGTATTGCACAAAACTTTGATTAATAAACTGGAATGATTCCAAATCAATATGGCATATACTTAATGTATTAAAAAGTAGTTAGGTCAATGCAGTCTAATTCTTAATGAGGAATTAGTGAATGGGTATAGTGAGCCCACTAATCCTAATAATTTTTGCTGCATTAGCTAAAGTCTTTGCAGTTTTGTTTGTTCAAACCATATACAAATGATTTTTCACAATGACTTTCTCCTTGCTGGGGCTTTAAATTGTGAGAAGAATTTGCTCAGCCTTGATCATTTTAAACAATAAGTATTCTGTCAAAATTATAATTTTTTTTATTAATCCAGAAATGAGTGCTCTAGCATCAATTTCTAAAATCTTAATCTGCATAGAATCAGTTGATCTGTCACAGCATTACTAATGCATTATTTAGTGGTCATTCTATTGGCATCAGCTTTCATGTTTGTAATACAGAATGATTTTGTGTGACATCAGCTGGATTTCCTTTTCTCTCCAGGCAAAACCTGGCTAATTGATGGCTTTTGAGGGTATATTTATGCTGCAGTAAAGACCCACAGATTGACTGGCCTCGGGCTGCAGGGGCCAAAATTTAGACTTGGTGTAAGGGCTGAGGTCTGAAACCCTATGATGGGAGATGTTTTCAGAACCTGGGCTCCATGAGCCTAAATCAGTTAACCTAGGCACTGAGTATCCAGTACTGTGGGGTTTTTATTGTAGTGTTAGGCATTCCCTGAGATACTAACATGGCTTTCATCTCTACTTCTGGTGCTAAATGAAAATACTACTTTCAGACATATTGTAGATTGTATTGTCATTATTAGTTGTTTCCCTATCACCCAGGACCTTTTCCCATTTTATTGCCCATGGTGGTTTTAAATAACTTACTAGCATATTTATTTTCTCTTGCTAAAATTTGCACCTTCTGGTTAAATCATAATAATCACTATATGCCTCTTCATAGTTTAGAATAATAATGTGTTGCATACATACTTGCCCAAAAATGTATTGCAGTCCGCTGCAGTCTTGAAGATACATGCATAGAAACAACATTGGAAATGCTGATATTTATGTATTTCTAACTAGTTGTTGTTAGTCACATATTAACCTGCCTTTTAGCAAGTTAATTAGCCATCATGTGTTTGATATATGTCTCTAAGATGTAGTATTTTAGTTTGAAACCCTACAAAATATTGAATGTTGAGACTGATTTTTCATCTTGACAGATGTGGATTTATTTTTTTTTGTCTGGCACGAAATCCACACTGACTTTCAGGGACGATGGCATTTGTGAACACGTGTAATAACTGCTGATTGTAGAGAATGTGGAGCAGGATCTTACCAGCTATAGACAGCAGTGAGATGCCCCGGTGGTCATCACAACATGGACGTCATCTTTTCTCTTAAATATGTGTACAGTCAGAGCATCTTTGAATACCTGGGGAACTTGCTCTTTCTCCCAGATGGAGATAAACAAACAGGTGAGACAAAACATTAGCTGGCCACCACCAGCTTTATAAATCTCTGATGGTATCGGGTCACTGCCATGTGCCTTTCCAGATTTCATCTGCTTGATATCTCTTTTGTACCTCACCAAGAGTTGGCAGTATAACTAGCTGTGAAACACTGGCACGCTGAGGAATCTCTTCAAGAATGGTGCTGTTGAAAGTTGATGTCTGGTTTAATATGTTGCAAAAATGTTCAGCCCAGAGGTCAAGGATATTAGCACTATCTGTAGTCAGTGTGTTGCCATCAGCAGAGCCCATTGGTATAGAGCTAGCAGTACACGTCCCGTAGACTGCCTTCAGTCCATCATAGAATGTTTTGAAATCATGTCTGATCGCCTTGAATTTTGACTGGTTTACATTTCCACTTGTCCTCTTTCATTTTCCATATTTTGATTCGTACTTTC